AGGTGATACCACTGTGGTACATATTGCTAAAGTCTCTGCTTGAAGGTATACATATCACTGAGGGCTAAATATTGGTATGGATTATTTTTAATTAGAAATTTCTAATTTAATATTTTCAATGTGACTCATTCATTTTAATATGACTCAAAGGTGCTTTGAAAAAAAACACACCTTTTTTTCCCTTCAAAAGGCAACTGGACTGTTTTTTTTTCCTTGAGGAAGAAGAAAACTTTTTGCTTCTCATCCAAGAAGCTTCATCAGTTCTGAATTTCTTCTTCTTCCTCAAGGAAAAACGATTAGTTGCCTTTTGAAGAAAAAAAGCGCCTTTGAGACAACTATGACCTGGATGACATTCTGAACCATGAGTTTTCCATTTTCCCTCTTTTCCTGTATTTAATGTCTTTCTAGCCTTTGTTTGCTGAAGATATGTGGCACTGAAGATTTGATCAGGAAATGAGGGATTGTGTTTATATCTTTGCAAGTATGGAAGTGGATATTTATTTATTTAGAAAATTTATACTGCCGCCTATTCGCACATGTTAACTCAAGGTGGCTTACACAAATATAAAAACAATATATGTAAAAAATAAAACTAATAGAAGAAAATAATCAAATAATAAAGTAATAAAGTAATATAATAGCCCCCCACCTCCCCACCTCGGTGACATCAACACATCACACAATAACCCTCTTAAAAATGGGATAAAAGAAGATGGAATCTTGATCAATTTTACAAAGCTGAAAGGACAAGGAAAAGTTGCATTTTCTACAATTATCTTCTTTTATACAAGAAGGCAGATACAGAATTTCTGGCCTCATATTTTCCATTAATTTTTAAGTCCAGCATGTTAATAAATCAAGTATCTATGCTGTAGTTTTATATAATGGTGCAAGTCATTCATTGTTGCCTTTGGTTGCTGAATTAAACATTTGGAGAAAACATTCCCAAAGCAGAAGCTCTGATGCATGTTTCTTTTTTACAAAACACACAATTGTTACTTAGCGTAAGACAGAAATACTGATTTTTTTTTCAAAGGCATGTAAATAGATTTTCTAAAAACTCTCTACAAGACATTACTCTGCAGCTAATATAATTATTAGAGGCAGCTATTTATTTAACAGTGAGAAACTAACAGTAAGAAATGAAACAATTCTTTTAGGTAAAGTTTCTTTTTGCATATATCTGTTTTCAGGCACATTGTTCTCTGTAGCCTCGTTTCAGTGCTTTTATTGCCTTTTGCACAGCACTGTAGATATGTTCAGAGATCCATGACAATTAACTAAATGAGAAAATAGAGTACTTGTAATTAAGATAATCAAACTCTGAAAAACCCAGCCTGCTAATACTAATAGCCAACCTGCTTTAAACTGTACATTAATTAAACCTTAGGTAACAGTTGCAGTCATTCTTTGGCAATTTGGGGGAGGGAAAACTGAAATAATTGGTCACATAAAAGCAAAATTGCTTCTAAAGCACCTAAAAGTGTCACTGGCTTCATCTGAAATAGGTTGGTTGCCAGCAGGACCTCAGCTCTGCTTTGATTTTTCAAGTCTTCATTCTGCACGATACCAAATGCATTCAATCTCTTGTTCCATTGTGTAGTTAAGAAAAAGGTTTTGAAACTGTGTGTCAGTTCATTAGTATGGGACTCAAGCTAAGGTTATAAACTTTAATTAATTAACTGCGGAACTAGGAACAAAAGATTGCAAAATCCAGGCAAAAATAAAATCTAGGCCCAAAGTATCAGAAGTCACCCTTCCTTTAAAGCAGGGGTGTCAAACTCAAGGCTGCGGGCTCTAATCTGGCCCGTGGAGTGCTTACATCTAGCCCTCTGGCTGGCCTAGAAACAGGAAGGGACCGGCCCACAGTGCCTCTGCCAGCAAAAATGGAGCTCAGGGGGGCTGTGCGCCCCCCCCCCATAGCTCCATTTTCGCTGGCAGAAGGCTAGCAAAACAAACTAAAAACAAAACAAAAGGAGAACTGTTTCCCCTTTTGCATTTGAACATGCAAGAAGGAACAGGAAAGGAGAAAGGGGAAGAGGAAAGACAAAGAAAAAGAAGGGAAGATGGGAAGAGAGCAAGGAAGGAAAAAGGAGAGGAAGGAAGAAAAAAGGAGAAGGAAGAGGGAAGGAAAACAAAGAAAAGGAAGGAAGGAAGGAAGGAAGGAAGGAAGGAAGGAAGGAAGGAAGGAAGGAAGGAAGGAAGGAAGGAAGGAGATTATAATGAGAGGGAGGGAGGGTCTCAGGGAAGTTCTGCCTTAGCACTTGGCCACCATGGGTGCCCCCGACACAAGTGTTGTTGAGCTGGCCACGCCCACCATGGCCATGCCCACCCCTGCCCCTCCAAGGTCAAACAAAACCCTGATGCGGCCCTCAATGTAATTGAGTTTGATACCCCTGCTTTAAAGGTAAAGGAGTCTCTGCAGATTTTACTCCGCTAGTTTGCAGATTACAGGGGGCGGTGCTTATCTCTATTTCAAGTCAGCGCTGTCCGATAACATTTCAGTGGTCATGTGCCTAGCATGATGTCATGGAGCACTGTAACCTTCCCACCGAATTGGTACCTGTTTAGCTAGTGGCTCAGTGATTAAGATGCTGGGCTTGTTAGCTGGAAAGCCAATAGCCCCAAGTTCGAGACCCGAGCGCCATGCAATGGGGTGAGCTTCCATCCACACACCCCAGCTCCTGCCAACCTTGTCAAAGCTCTGAGCAAAAAGTCAAGTCTTCAAGACCCTCTGAAATACCACTTGAGTAGGAGGCACCTAGATTTCAGGAGGAACCTCATTCTGTGCGTGTGTGTGGTGGTGGTGGTGGGGGCATAACTTTCTAGATTATTTGAACCCTTTAAATAAACACGTTAATCCATATACTAATTCAGATAAGGCCAGCTCCAAAAGAAAAATAAGGCCATGCCTGCAAATTGTTTATTGCAAATATTGTAAAACAGCCCTCTGGTAAAGTAGGAAGGTGGTAAACGAAGTTGTTTAAAGCTACAGCAATAACATTTTTTTCTCACTGCTAATAAAAACCTACCAACTGTGAGTGTATTTCGCAAGTAAAACAGAAAACGCTTTCTTATTTCATTTCTGAAAGACAAAAGAAGAAAAGTATTCAAAATATGCTGACCAAAGAAACCTTGGATTGTTTATATTTTGGGATGACGGGTTTTATTGGATGCCCAGAATTCCTTCTGAGGAATGAATTTGGTTTGTGTGAGATAGATGGTTTGAATAATTGTCAAGAGGAACTGAGAGGTGTAATGCAAAAAAATATTTTAATATTGGATGCTCCGCAGAACATTTGTTGCTCAACAGGAAGTAATCTACTTACATGTGTTAATATTTGGCGCCAAAACTTACTTACCCAATGTCAGCTGGCATTGTTTTCTTTGAAAATTGTATGGGATGCAACGATGACATCAGAAAAGAAAAAGAATTAGATGTTCTACCTATTCAAATGATAGGTAATCATCCTTTGCCTCAGTCTCACTGAAAATTGATGTCATCCAGATGTTAGTCATTCTGACTGAAGAATTCTGGGAGCTCAGGTGCATACTTTTTTGGGGGGGCACTATTGGGGGGGTTTAAAGTTGATGTGTGTTTGGCATCCAATGGCCCAGCCCCAATGGACATGGTATTTGGAATAGAATTGTCTCTTCTCCTTTATGGCACTGTGATGTTCCAGCCTGGCAAAAGTGCTGGGATACATTAGCTAATCTATGAAACCATGCATAAAAATGTGTAAGTGATCTTTATAAATGTTAGATTTGGACTGCTGGCATGATTAGTCTGCCAAACTCACAGATATCACATAATTCTTATCAAAAGCATAGGAGGTGTGGAGGAAAGAAACATGCACACCTTAAAATCTTACTCTGACACTTCATAACAGAAAACTGGTACTTTACCTAGAAAAACAACATTATTTAGGTCTTCCTTTTTTCCTTTTTCCTCCATGTTGGTCAAAATAAAATAGTTGGAGAAAGAGGTCTATGTAGCAAAATTATCTTGACAGCTGAACAACAGATAAATTCTGCAGCAGCTGCCGATGATCATACTGGGAAATGAATCTGTCTTGACTAACTTCATGAGGAATATATATTCACTTGGATATGTTTTCTCAGTCACCTGCTGAAAATTCATACAATGAAATTCTATAGCTTCCTCTAAATAAAAGTTTAGCATATCTTTATGAGTTTTTTCTCTTATGTTGGATTTTATGTCTTCCTTCCTTCCTTCCTTCCTTCCTTCCTTCCTTCCTTCCTTCCTTCCTTCCTTCCCTCTTTCCTTCCCCTCTTGCTGCCAGCCAAAAGCATTCATCATGGCTCTTGAACAGAACTAGTAGAGACCAGAACCATACAGCCTTTGTTCTTGTATTGGCCCCTAAAAGAAGCAAGAGTTTGGCCAGTGGTGTGGTGACCTCACTGGAGCTATTGGGCCTGGAATTTCTGCCCCTTTCTCCTCCCTCTTCATTTTGTGTGATTAGGGCTTTTAACAAAAATTAAAATACATGGGTAGAGCCTAATGGAGATTTAGGGTTTTACAAAAATATTAAAGAACATGTAATCAATATTGGCAGCTTGTCATTGAGTTTTGGTACTATACTTCTGGAGGGCTCTGAAGGTTCCTAAAAGGAAAGGAGTTTGGGTTATAGATTATCCATCTTTCATGTAGTTTAAATTCTCAACTATTTCCTGTCTCTTGCATGCTGATGTGTCAGAGTCACAGCTGTCCCCTGAATTCTTCCTCATTTGTCAATGTATTATTTGGTTTAAGAGATCTGACAAGTTAATAATAAAAGAACTGCCAAGTTAATATTCCATTATATTAAACACTAAGCCAGAAGTAACTGAACATATGCTTCTGCTAAATAAATCCCATATGATCTAATTTGCTTACAAATGCGTGGTTGCAGTTCAGAATTTCGGAACATAGTCAATGCAAGAAATGCAGATAATGTCTGAGAAAGTTTTTTTTAACCAATGATGACTATATACACAAATGCTGTTCTTTAATTTATTTCCCCAGTTTTTAAAAACGATCAGCAAAATAACACTCCATCCTCTTCCAACGTAACTATAGTTGAGCTTCGTGCTATCAGAAACCATTTTATTTTTCCGTAAGGAGTGACAAAATGGAACCTGTCTGAGACATTTTCCATTTCCATAGGGAAATATTCAACTTGATCAGCAACTTGGCTGGCATCTCTATAACTCCAAGGTAACATTTTTCAACTAGAAGAAGCACTTTTTGACAATTACATTAGATAAAACAATATATACAATTTTGATAAGTAAATACATAAATACAGCCATTTGTATATAATAGTACATTTTCACTTCAGATAATGTCATGTTTCTTTAGTTTATTAGACGTTTCATTGCAAATCAGCGTTCTGTACATAGATCTGTTTTAATCCCAATAAAGGATCAATTTATTGATTGAATCTCAATGACTCTGGAATCTTCCAAAGTCACCCACTAGGAATATCTATAATAAAATAGTTCTCCAGAAGATAAGGCTTCTGAAAGTTACTGGCAATGTCTTCTTTGTCCACTTACATTTCAAAAATAGAAATCAAAGGGGATTTTTAAATTTAGACTGGGATTACTGTGATAATTTCCTGTTATGAACAAACCATATGTTTTATAAAAATAATGTTAAAGAACTTAAAATAGACGTAAAAAACAAAGATTATTTTTTGGTTCTGAACAATCTTTGACCAAATGCTGCCAAGACTAGTGGGGCAGGGAGATCTTAGGAGCTTCAGATATTGTACTATGTTTTCCAGCATCCCTTGCCATTGTCTGAGGCTGCTGGGAGTTGAAGATAGCAATTCTGGAGGTCCCTCCCTCCAGAACGAAAGAAGCTTGTATTTAGTTATAACGTCCCAGTGGTTCCCTTTGCTGATTCCATCTTTTTTCTTGTTTGCTCAAAAGAATTGAGAAACAGATTTGTGTTTTTTTAAAATCACTTTTAAACATCATGTACATTAAAAAAAAATCAGGGCTCTCATGCTTAAGGATCTTGAACACTGACAGAAATTTTGATGCAGCTCCATGCATAACCAAATGTTACATTGCAAGTTGGTTCTACACACACACACACACACACACATGCAGTGGGATAGAGAAGAAGCTGACTTAAAATATATACAGCATTTTTAAAAGATGAATATTTACAAATCTGTCAAAGAACAGAAAAAATAGAAAGAGACAATCCTAAGCGTTAATGGACATCTGGAGAAGATGTAAACATTTCCGGGCTTTGGTCGATGTTTGTTGCTAAAGGGGTTGTTTTCCATAGGCAGTGTTGCTCCATAGGCGGTGTTACCATTATTAGAGCCCATGGTTTGCAGATGTTAGTCTTAAAATTACTTGGGAGTGATTGTATCTCACAATACTGCAGACTATGACTCAATGCTGTGCTGAACTCACCTCTCTGAGCGTGCAGCTACCTCTTGTGCTAAGGAAAGCTAACAAACCAGTTAAGGCATGACAATCTATGGTTTAGCATCCTGCATGCAAAGAAACCTACATGGGAAAGGCTCTATCGGGGTCAGGCTTTGGATCAGGGTTCCAACCATACATTGTCTCCAAGTGATGCTTTCCATTGTTCCCTTTTTGCTTATCCTTTTTATGCATTTAATACCTTATGACTATGAAGCCTGCTGAATCCTTGCTGATCTTTTGATTGCCCTACTACTGGTGTGTGTGTGTGTGTGTGTGTGTGTGTGTGTGTGTGTTTTAAATGAAGCTCCACCCTGAATGCATGGGCCTATCCCTCTTGCACTTTGGTGGTTTCATTTAGGCCCTCTTGGGATTTTGATTATGATATGAGCAAATTGCAGGAAGGGGGTGATATTTGCCTCTTTTTCAGAGGGTGAATTTCCAGCCCAACCTCTCATTTCTGCACATGCCTCTCCTGTCAGTGTCATGCCATCCTGCTGCCCAAGAACTTTCCGTAAAATGTGAAATTAACACATAATCCATCTTGATCCCTCACACAATGAAGTGATATGATAGTAGGACTATTGAGAGAGTGGAGTACAGTGGTAGAAAAGTGTTACGTGGAAATACAGTGGACATCTACAGTAGCATCTGTAGATCAGACTTTCTCAGCCTCATGTTCTTCAAACTCGTGACGGCAATTTCTTTATAACCAACAAGGATGGCCAAAGAAGACTGACCATTCCCCCCCCTCACAAATACCGACTTATTGTAAAGTGTCACTGCTACTTTGTTTTTCCTTCATATCACAAAAAGAAGGTCTACAAGAGGAAAATGATCAGCAAACCATTTGGAGAGCTCAAGATTTGACATGACAGAAAAAGTTAACAGTGTCTTTAAATTCTCATCTTACATTGTCAACGTTCTCTTATCTAAGCAGTGGTACACATTTCCTTTCGAATGTGGCTTTAATAAAGGACAATTAAGAAAAACAGGAGACACTGGACAGGCCAACTATTTGAGACAAGAAGAACAAGTTAAATAATACTTTAAACATTTTAATACATGTTAATACGTGCTCAGTGCAATTTAGAGCTTCTTTGTAGCTTGAATTCTGCTCTTCTGTTTCTAGGCCTTTTGACCTATAAGTGCAATTGATCCTTCTTTATAACTAAAGGAGGCCACAGGGTGACATGATAGCAGTGTTCCAATATCTCAGGGGCTGCCACAAAGAAAAGGGAGTCAAACTATTCTCCAAAGCACCTGAGGGCAGGGCAAGAAGCAACAGGTGGAAACTAATCAAGGAGAGAAGCAACCTAGAACTAAGGAGAAATTTCCTGGCAGTTAGAACAATTAATCAGTGGAACAACTTGCCTCCCAGAAGTTGTGAATGCTCTAACACTGGAAGTTTTTAAGAAGAGTTTGGACAACCATTTGTCTGAAATGATATAGGGTTTCCTGAGCAGTGGGACAGCAGGTTTCCTGAGCAGGGGGTTTCCTGAATGGGAAGTTGGATTAGAAGACTTCCAAGGTCCTTTCCAACTCTGTTATTCTGAAGAACTTTTAGGCCCTTGAGATCTTGGTTGTGGCTGTATTATACGCCTTCTGATAGGTGACTGCCTGGGACTTGATTTATTTCTTTACTTAGAATACTTAGAAGTGACTTCCTTTGCAAGGACTATATGAAAACTATGTTAAGCAGTGAGCCGAGGTGGCGCAGTGGTTAGAGTGCAGTACTGCAGCTACTTCAGCTGACTGCTAGTTCAGCAGATCAGCGAATCAAATCTCACCGGCTCAAGGTTGACTCAGCCTTCCATCCTTCCGAGGTGGGTAAAATGAGGACGCAGATTGTTGGGGGCAATATGCTATTTAGTATACTGTCTTTGGTGTAAGCCGCCCAGAGTCCTCAGAGAGTGGGCGGCATAGAAATATGACTAATAAATAAATAATAAATAATGATTATTCCTGAAACAAATTAATTATCTAACAGTATGGATAAGCAATTTAGTGAGTGACAGCCTTGCTCAATGGATAAAATAAAAGGGATTAAGCAGTTGCCTTTCTGCTTAAAGAGGAGTTTCTATCAAGCAACATCCATCTCCTTTGGCTGGCTGAATTATGTAGTTGCTGCACATGGCCATAGTAATTAAATAATAGCATATATGGTCTATGCAGGGAGTTTCATACACTTCTTTGATCATTGCAATCGCTGAACACAATAAAAAGACATTCAGGACTCAGGAGAGACAATGTTTTTGAGTTAGTGAATTCCTGAGACCGTCTTTGGTCTTTCTCACAAAATAGTTGCTTCAGTAGGGGATGGCTTCCCTCTTCACAGAATAGTTGCCATGCTAAACATTGACATGAAGCCCTTACTTCCTAAAAGGTGTCTTCTCCTCAATTGACCGTATCCATTTACCTTGGCTTTGCCCACCCCACCCTAGACAATTAAGCATACATTGGAACAAAACATGGGAGTGTATAGGCTTGTGCTGGTCTCTAAAGCATTCCTAGACGTGTATATGTCAAGGAGGGTTGGGAACTTAGTAGGTATTAATTAAGGTGTTCTTAGACGTATCTCCAGTATTTATGAATTATGATTTAATCCAATCATACTGTAAGCATGTTCAAAAAGATGCTAGCAGTCTAGTGGAGTAAGATGTCCAACAAAAATCCAATGAAGGGTGCCTAAAAGAGGTCTTTGGTTCAGGATGCATTCAGTCACTGCAGCTTTCTACTCATCTCAAGGAACTAGTCCTCTTAGTCATTCTGATTAACATCACCGCATTAGTTATATGGGAAGGGAAAGAAGTGACTACAAGTAGAGAGGATTCAAAGAGTTTGCATAATGTCCTGTTTCCTTCCCTTTGAAACAAGTTGAATTGGCACAGTCTGAGTTGCCATCAATAATTTGGATGGCCAAAGAAGGAAACGTTCAAAGGTTATCTAAGCAATGTCCATCTATTGGATATCAGCCCAACGTCAGATGCTACTTCTGGAAAAAAAATGCATTTAAGTTAGCAACCAACATTTCCTGTTGGTGGAATAATATAACCTTAGAGAAGAATTTCCTCTTTTCTTATTCATCCCATCTTCCCAAATCCACTCTAAAGCAATCCAGGGCCAGTGTAATGATCGCATGATAGGATTCATGCAGAGGAGAGCCAAAGGACATCCTACTGCTGAAATTCCCCATGAGAAGAATATATGAAGTGTTGCAGTAAAGATCCACTATACTATTTCAGTTCATTCTTAGCTTCATGACAATGGTATAAAGTAAGGGGGCGTGGAAGCATGGTACTGGATACTGTTCTATCCAAACAAAGCTATTGCATATGCTAGAAATGTATGAAGCTGAATTATGAAGACAATTCAGTCAAAACATCCTTTCGATTAATTTTGCTGAACAGATTCAACAGTTCAGAATTCAGTGGAAGGATGTATATGTACTCAAGCATCCAGATTATTAAAATGCATTGATTGTGTCAATCCCATTGCAAATCTGAACCAGGTCAAATTGATTCCTAAGATCAAGTTGCAAATTCACATCAAATGAATTAGCTGATTTGCACAGCTCTAATATATGCACAGCAAAGCAGGAAGCATTTATCACCGATTCATTCGTTCCAAAATATCTTTTAATTCTGATTACCCCCCCCAAAAGAAAAGCAAAAGTGTTATTAAATTATAAATATTTTAAAAATCCTTAGGAATGAAATGTAGTTTTAGATGCTGGAAAGATTCCAGAGATGGTCCAATGATAATAGGTTGAATTGAAGGTCTTGCTGATGAAATTCTATCAATAGGATGTTTAAACATGTACTTTTTAGAAAATGGTCCATTGAACACACAACATAGAATCACAGGGTTGGAAGGGAGACCTCAGATATCTTCTAGTCCAAACCAGCGGTGAAATGTAAAATTTGTTACTACTGGTTCTGTGGGCGTGGCTTGGTGGTGGTGGGGTTAATGTGACTGGGTGGGCGTGCCCAACTTTTTTTTTTACTTTTTAAAAGTATTCAGGTGAATAGGTTGTAAAAAATGCTTTTAAAGGGTAAAAAAAAGGCTCTGATGATCACAGCTGTGGTGCATGATCGACAGAGCCTTTTTTTTACCTTTTAAAAGCAGGAAGTAACAACACCCAGGTGGGTGGGCGGAGCCACACACCGCCATTGCTTACAGGTTCTCCGAACCATCTGCCACAATCGCTACCAGATTGCCCGATCTGGTCCGAACCAGCTGACTTTGTATAAAAAAGAACACCGCTTGGGGTGTGGGGGGCGAAAGCAGGTATATACAAAAGTATGAAGGCTATTGCTTAACGCATTGTAAGTCCCCCTGAGTCTCCGGAGAAGGGCAGCATATACATCGAACCAATAAATAAATAAATAAATAAATTTCACCCCTGGTCCAATCAAGGCAGGAGCCTTATACTATCCCGGTCAAATGGTTGTCCACTCTATTTTTGAAAACCTCCAGTGATGGAATACCTGCAACCCCAGGAGGCCAGCTGAGCTATTGCTCTCACTGTCAGAACATTTCTCCTTACTTCTAGGGTGGATCACTCTGTAACAAACTTCTACCACATATCACTTCTTGTCCTGCCCCTCTGGTGCTTTGGAGAATAAGTCAACCACCAAACTGAACTTGGGTTCCATAAACATGGTATCTTTTGGCTTTTAAAATACTACGCATTACCCCTGTCCATAATGCCAAATGGAGTTTTGTATTTTAAATGAATAAAATACCAGCATGTCTGTCAAATTGTGATGCTTGTCGACTTCAAATGTTACTATTGATAACGCCATTTGGAAGGGCACAAATGAGAAATAAATAAATTCCTATTTAACTTGTGGAGCTTTTCGTTCCCTCCCCCACTCTTCTTTACAGCATACAGATCTATAATTCCAGTGGGCATTCATTATAATTAAAAATACGCCTGAGCTCCTTAAAAAGCAAAGTGTTGCAATAAACTGCCCCAAAGATACTTTTTTCCAAGAGATAAATGGACTTTCTGGTCCATCCAGTCAGAGCTGAAGAAGCTTCTTGGACGAGAAGTGAAACGTCTTCAAAGAAAAACCAGAAAGTCCAGTTGCCTCTTGAAAAAAAGCACCTTTGGAACAACCAGGACCTGGATGACTGAGAATCTCCATAGACGTTGCAATAAACTATGTTTTTAACAGTGTTCCATTCAGAATTTTGGCTGTGAACTTTCTTATCTTCCAATCCATAATTATACATATTGTTTATTAGCATTTGGTTACATCACAGTAATGTTAATTCCTTCCTTAGTTATGCAGTATTTCTACTGATTGTTTAACACTATTCCTGCAAATAAAGTGGCACCGTTGATTTTCAATTAGTAAACAACATTAAAAGCAAGTACTTCAATTGTTAAAAGGGAAGTAATGACAGCATTTAGCAATTTCCCCCTTTAAACACATGTGAGGTTTCAAACATCTCTTCATCACTAAATTGACATTATTACCAATACCTTTTGACACCTTCATTTATAGATGGCAAGGAGCAGATCTGGCATTTGGCAAGGTTGTTACAATGAAGAAAATTATATATTACTACATTCTGGAGAATATTTTAAATTGGGACAGAGCAATCTAATTTGGAATGGTTAGCCTACCCAACTGTGAAGGGTATGTGATCTCCATGCTTTGAAAAACAGTAGGAAAGAGAGAAAGATGTTTGCATCAACGTATTTTTAAATTCCCTCTTCCACAGGATGGAATAGTGGTAAAGAATATAGGTTCTATTGTTCTCTTGCTACACTTCATGGACCAACTCCTTTAAAAAACTTGTCTAAGATTTCCAAGAGTTTTGATCCCAGATCAGCTGGTTTTGGATGTTATTTACAATGACAGTTTAAGAAGGATCCAACCTCAGGTTTCCTATTCTGAAGTCAATCTCTCTCTAATCTTACTGGGGAAAATTAGACATCTCCTTTGGTCTCTGGCACTTCTTCCAGAAGTTGTTGGTTTGTCCATACTGTTTATAGTTTATAGTTAATCGAAGGAGATCCAATAGGGCCTACTTTTGCTAAGTGGAAGTAGAATTTTTAAATGAGGAGACAGGGATCCAAAAGGCTTGTGTTCAAATATTGAAATGTTTCTATATATAAAACAGTAACTTTTAAAACAAATTACTTTTAGCTATGGTCCATTTATTACTTCAGCTGCTACTCATATCTGAATTTAGGGGAAAACGGTTGGTTCATTGGAAGGAGTGATGCATGGACAGAAATCTACAAAGATTCATTCTGAATCCTGTCATAGCAAAAACTTTATACTGACAACTATAAGAGCCGAGGTGGCACAGTGGTCAGAGTGCAGTACTGCAGGCTACTTCAGCTGACTGCTAGCTGCAGTTCAGCAGTTCAAATCTCACCGGCTCAAGGTTGACTCTCAGCCTTCCATCCCTCCGAGGTGGGTAAAATGAGGACCCAGATTGTTGGGGGCAATATGCTGACTCTGTAAACCGCTTAGAGGGGGCTGTAAAAGCACTATGAAGCGGTATATAAGTCTAAGTTCTACGTGCTAACTAGACTTTGAGGAGAAAGTGGCATCTAATTTGGAATAGAGGTCTATCATGGCACCATTTCAGTTTGCATTTTTTAAAATTAATTTCAGTGAGGATGAATTTTCCTCAGAACCAATGACCCACCATTGCCTTAGAGAAAGGTTCCTTTCTGACTTTCTAATGGGAATGAATTTTTATGTTATGCTTGTTACACTCATCTTCTTATGCATACGCTTGATAGACTAGACAAGACAAATGCCTCTTTTGTTTGTTTGGACTGATGCGGATAACACCATTATGTTAGGACCTGCAGTTCGTAAACCAGAAGTTATAGCTGGGGAGACCAGCCAAACCCAAAATATTATTAAGGTTTTTCCTCCTAAAAGTGAACACCCCATTGTCTGTTTGCTCTCTATTCGTATAACAAGAACCAAAGTATTTACATCTCAAAAAGTCCTAACATCTGAGATGCTTCTTGCTGGACATATCATTCCAAATCCTGTGCATTTCCTCAGGGGATATCTGATGTACCGTAATAACACGCCGGTATCTGCACAGGCTGTAGGCCATCTTCCAGTGATTGAAGCCACTGTTTTGGAAAGGATGAATGCCAAGCTTCCGCAGACAGAGTCCCACATACACATCCTCAAGATGAAGGAGTCTAGTATGGAGGGAAGTTTTGTAAATCATCTCTGCTACATCGGCAGAAAATATATAGCCTGTGCCTGAGCAAAATGGCGGATAGTTGCTGTCAGGATACAAGTCCCTAGGCATGTACCATTTGCTCCGAACATCCCTGATGGGGCCTCCGTTGATGACGTAACCAGTAAAGTACCTTCGTCTTGGTTTGGTGTTCGGTTTGAGCAACTTGTAAATGAGGTTGTCCATATTTACAAAAATGTCGCTGTCTGTTTTCATGATATACTTGGCTTTCGAACAAAATGTGGCCACCCACTTCATTCCCATTAATGTTTTCAGGGTCAGGTTATGATACGAGTCAATGAAATCTTCCACAATGATGTCGTGAAAAATTTGACTTTCTTGCTCAACCATCTGGTTTAACACAGAGTCTGTGTTTTTCCCCAGAAGAAAAAGAGTGGAAATCTTAATACCTTTGAAGTTGTTCTCATCTCCCCATGTCTCCCGGATGGCTTGTCGAGCATCAAACTCTTTGTGTGTTGTGCTGATTAGAATAACCAAAAAGGGAGCATTCTTCTCACACTTCTCTGGCTCATTTATGAGAAAATCAAATGAATGTGGGTTTATTGGTCGAGTCCTTATGTTCCCAAAGGAAACATTTTTTCGAGCCATTGAGATGCTGTCATAAGTTTTGTGAACAGTGTAAGATGAGGTGTAGGAGGAAGTGGGACGTGTTATGCTTAAGTACCACAAAGCACTTGCCCAACATACAACTGTCAAGACATATAAACACGAGACTTTTGAAGGCATTGTTCCTGAAGCTCTTCTAATCAACAGAATGAACCAATTGTCTTCTTGCCACTTGCTTCACTTGGTCTGACAGAGGCAGCATGTTATTTTTCAGATCTTAAAAATTTGACACAATAACAGCATGGCACTTGTTCATAGAAATCCATGAAAAGTTTTTAAGAGGGATGTGTTTAATGATAGCTTCCATGTCTTGGGGTGAGGTGTTATTTCTGAAAAACATAAATGAAAAAAGGCTTATTGATGGTGCTGTTTTATTCTGATATTCGAATAGACTACCTACAAATGCTAAATTATAACCATCCCATTTTGTGCGGAACATAACAAAGTGATATGAATGTAAGAAATGCAGTTTGCTTAATTACTTTAAGAAAAAAAATATAGTATTGGTCTCCAATGCTTGTCTGAATGACAGTAAACAGCTCCAAATCATTCCTCCTTCAGGAAACCATAAAATATCCATCCCAAAAATGATATTCAAGTTGGTTTGGTTTGGGGCAAAGTCCTAGCATGAATTGAGTGACATGAACAACCATCTTATAAAAGGAATGAGAGAGTATGGAATTGTTGGACCTAATAGATATTTAAGAGCAGTTTTATATCCATTAATCTGACAGTAACTGTAGTTGAACTCCACGGTCTGGGAATAAGATTGCACTGTTAATTATTTAAGGTACTTCTCTGTTGTAATTTCTCAGACAACTCTAAGAAGCTTAGAGGAAAACATATACAGTACTACATACTATAAAAGTCAAGAAAACAATTTAATACAAAGAATTTATATTTATATAAATATCACTTATAATTATAGATGCTTTTATTTGCATGTATTCTGAGTCTATAATAAAGTACTTACTATCACTCTACAAAAAATAATATGTTAAGATCTGATGATCTTAAGTTTAAAAAGAGAGAAGTTTGGCCAGACTTTGCAAGTCTGGATAAATAAATAAGCATATATTAACGAATTCTAATAATAATAAAAAAATACTTTTTCCTATTGCAATTAGAGAATATTCAACAGTGGTAAATTTTAGAGATTATAAAATTTATGAAATGAGAATGGAATGTAGAATTCATTATGCTTATAGACCAAAAAGACCATGATTTCAAGACTACATAAGCAATTAGTAGGACAGAGCTTTACACACATATAACAAAATGTAGTAATATTTAGGGTTACGCAATTGATTTTGTTATCTAAAGGCCAGCATTTAAGATGATGAGAGCAGGTGGTGACAGAGGTGGAGTCTCTCTTTATCTGAATGCTGGTTATAAATGGCTGCTCCCTTTTGGTTTAATTGCCGTGATTAAGTGGTTTTTCTATTATTGTCTACATTCTGTCAATTGTTTTAAAATGATGAAATTATTATTTTAGCCTGTATTGTTTTTGGCTTGGTGAGACAATGCACAGTGCTGGTAAGATCAATAAGGGCATGATTAAATGTTTAGCAGCAATCCCTAAACAGGTAGTCCTTGTTAGTGACTGCAATTGGGACCGGCACTTCAGTCATTAAATGATTGCAAAGTGAAAAATCACATTATCACAACTGTACCTAGGATTTTACTTCAGCTTTCCATTACTTTTACAGCTCAGAAGATGCAACCCCAAACAGCTGGATGAGTCCAAATGGCAGGGAAGGTTTACAGATTTCAACTCATGAAGAATCTGAGTAAAAGGGAAACCTTATAGGCCAGAGGGGTCAAACTTGCAGCCCGCAGCCCAGATGCATCATGGGCTGACCATGCCCATGCCCAGTTTAGTGAAGGGGAAAAAAGTTGTCACATGATGACTCCGTGACGACGTGAGTTTGACACCCCTGTTATAGGCCTTTCCCCCCCCCCTTTGGAATGTTCATACTAGTGGTGTATTTACATTCAGTGGAGAGAAAGGGATTGCAAGAGAGTAAGCAGGCACTCCCTGGAGAATAGACATTGAAGGAAGTGCCCTAGACTGACTGCCTAAACTGATTAGGGTGTTTTTTTAATTTTAGTCAATTTTGGCTAAAAGCTGGCAGCACATTATAATCATCTAATTAAAGTCCCAGAGCTGAGTTTTGTTAACTTGCAGTTAGCACTGTTTAGGGATGCGCTACAGCAGGGGTGTCAAACTTGATCAGGCTTGTATTTGACCTTGGGGGAGGCGGGGGGGGCATGGCCAGGGTGGGCATGGCCAGCTCGACATCACTCGTGTCAGGGGGCCCTGTGGTGACACTCTGTCAGCAAAAACAGGCTCCCGAGCTCCGTTTTCGGCTGTGATGACTACCTGCAACCCTCTGCCAGTAAAAACAGCCATCCCGAGCTTTGTTTTTGGCTTCTGCCAGCAAAAATGGAGCTTGGGAGCTCCATTTTCCCTGGCAGAGGCACTGTGGGCTGGTCCTTTGCTGTTTCCAGGGTGGCCACGCAGACCAGACCTAAGCACCCTGCGGGCCGGATCTGGCCCCCGAGCCTTGAGTTTGACACCCCTGCACTACAGAGAAAAGCATTTCAGGAGGACTTAGCTTGTTTAGGCAATCCCTCTACTCTGCTGGAGACGGGGAGAGAAATAAAGGGGTCAGGCACAGGACAATACCTACTAACTGAATGCAATGGGAAACATACTGTATGTCTGAGAGATTGGCCAAGAATCGGACACAACTGAATGAATATCATCATCATCATCATTGCTGCAAAGGTTGTAACTGGGCATTGGTCACAAAGTTGCTTCTTCATTACTGTTGTAACCATGAACAGCTGCTGTCTGAGGCAGTTGCTAAACAAGGACTATTGTAAAGAAGAAATTCATCTCATCTGCCATCCTTAGTGTACATGGGATGGTAAGGTTTATCTTTCTTTCCTAAAAAATATCCCTAGTCTGTCATAAAGTTGGTTTCTTCCAGATGTCTCTGAAATTCCAAGACAGAACGGTTCATGCCAGGGAACGCTGTCAAACTGCACAGAGGTTGTACAGTTAAAAAGCTCATTTGCCTTCAGAGATTCATGTTGCAACCCAGCAGCATCTCAGAGGATCAATAATCTTCATGGGTTCTATTTCATATGAACCAGCCACAGAAAACATTCAAATATTCACATTTCTAGTAAAACACAAATGACAATTGCCATGGGAGGTTTCCAGACCAAAAAGCTGTTCTTTGTAGTTGAGGCTGCAAAGATGAAACAAGAGGTGCTTTACTACAAAGAGCTGTGCGGTAATTGTTCAAACACTCTTTGTACAGAAACAGACCTACACCAGAGGTGGGTTTCAGCGGGTGGGTTCTGACCAGTTCTGGAGACCCGGTAGCGGAAATTTTGAGTAGTTCGGAGAATTGGTAGTAAAAATTCTGACTGGCCCTGCCCCCATCTATTCTCGGCCTCCCAAGTCCCGGCTGATCGGGAGGGAATGGAGATTTTACAGTATCCTTCCCCTGCCATGCCTACCAAGCCACGCCCACCAAGCCACACCCACAGAACCAGTAGTAATAAATTTTGAAACCCACCACTGACCTACACATATGTCATGTCTTAAAGTCCAGCTTCGTTCTTTATTCACAAAGGTATTTGTTGAAAATAGGATCACTCGGTAAGAAAACAAAACAAGGAAATGCTAAGTGTTATAAGAAAAACTGTGTTGCCGTTAAGATGATTTTTAGTTGTTTTTTTAAAAAAATATGATTTTACAAATGCTGATTTTCTAATTTATATTGTCAAAATCCAATGGAACTTAGTCATGTTGATCATTTAATGAAATCAGAGGAATGATTATTAGCAATAGCACTTAGACTTCACAGTACTTCACACCCCTCTCTAAGCGGTTTACAGAGTCAGCATATTGCCCCCAACAATTTGGGCCCTCATTTTACCCATCTCGGAAGGATGGAAGGCTGAGTCAACCTTGAACCTGGTGAGATTTGATTTGCCAAATTGCAGTCAACCAGCAGTCAGCAGAAGTAGCCTGCAGTACTGCACTCTAACCACTGTGCTACCGTGGCTCTTGGGATGCTTCTTTTAAGTCCCAAAAGTGCTTTTTCAGGAGGCAACTGGACTTTCTTGTTTTTTCTTTGAAGACATTTTGCTTCTCATCCAAGAAGCTGAAGAAGAAAAACCAAGAAAGTCCAGTTGTCTCCTGAAAAAGCATCTTTGTGACAACCATGACCTAGATGACTGAGAATCGCCATAGACTTTTAGCTACTTATTTTAAGTTACAATGCTTTAACTGTTCAGCTGCTATTGAATTACAACTTTTGGTAGCTTTTGCTTTTAGTTACCAACCAGCCAGCATGGCCAGTCTTAGGAACCTTAGCACTAGTTCAATAACCAGTTCTGGAAAAATACAGGTTCCCCAATCCTGCTTTAATCGGATTGGGGAAAATTCACACAGACACACACGCCATGATGACGTAACTGTTGTTTCCAATGCTGTTATTGAGAATTAGGGTTGCTGACAGAAATCTGTGAAATTGCTTAGACTCCACCACCGTCATCACCATTACATTAAGGAATTTGTATACAAGCCTTCAGCATAAGTTTAAAAGATGTAAAAATCTAAGGGGTAATTAAACTAGTTTATGCAATTTTTCTTTTTTGACTTATTCAGGAAGAAAAATATAATAAAAATATACATGCCACGTACATTTTAGGAATCGCAAGAGTGGGAAAAAAATGTCATCTCGAAATCAAAACTGGCTATCAACTCTAATAATTCGAGATATACAGACAATACCACTTTGTTAGCTACTGTGAAGAAGATTTAGTTGTTATAAAACTAAAAAATAGACTTTTTTTAAATTTGATTTATATGCCGCCCTTCTCTGGAGACTCAGGGCGGCTTACAATGCGTTAAGCAATAGCCTTCATTCTTTTGTATATTTTATACAAAGTCATCTTATTGCCCCCACAAACTGGGTCCTCATTTCACCTACCTTAGAAAGGATGGAAGGCTGAGTCAACCTTGAGCCTTGGAGAGATTCGAACCAGCAGAAATTGCAGGCAGCTGTGTTAATGACAGGGTGCACTAAACCACTGTACTATCAAGGCTCTTAGACTATGACAAAACAGGCTAATGTTAAATATGAACTAGACAAAAGTAATGTCAAACTGCGCATAAATACAATTGACAGAGGGAAAATATGCATTGTTTTTATCAACACTAAAGATAAACAATGTACTGGAGAAGTGTAAGAGGAAATTACCGGTAGAAAAAGCTATGACAAATTTAGATTAGTGCATGAGGGGT